TAGTACATAAGTTCCTTTCAATGCAGTGTCATCTATAGCAGTCAGATATTTGGTTTTTTGGAAAGCACTTGTATTTATTATAAGTTCAGTATTATTTTAATTTTGTATCCGTGTTCGGTGTTTATTTGCATATTTGCTGCTTATTTATTTATATATTTATTGTTTACATTTTTGTTTATTACACGTTTGACACTGCAGATATTTATTGTTTATTGTTATCAGCTTTGAAAGATGATTGTTTTCAAAAAAATTTATGCTTTTTACGTAAGTTTTGTATATAATAAGAATGATTTGGCGAAGAATGCTTTCTATGCTTTTAAGAATTTTTTTACTTTTATTTGATAATAATTTCAATGCTTTTTTCGTGTGCTTCTATTTATTGCATTTAGATTTAGTGTATTATTATTCATTAATAATACTATTATTAAGTCCTCTGTATACCATATTTTATTTGGACTTTTTCATTCAAACAGCATGGAATTTGTGATGCATTTTTTCGAAAATTTGGCATTCAGAATGATTTTGAAATTTTAAGAATTTCATATTTACACCTAGTATCATTTATTGTACAATAATCAAAGTTTAAAAATACATGAGTAGTTCAATGTCCTGAAAATGTCGTGAATATATTTTGAAGTTCAACAGTTAGGATACAAAATAAAAATCGCGTTTTTTTTTTTTGGGTTGTCCAAATATTGCTTTAGTGACTCCTTTGTGATTCTTTTGTTCATTGTTCAGAGTTTTGTAATATTTCACTTTCCTTACCTTAAATTATTTCCGTTCAAATGTTTTTATTGATTAATTTATTGTTTGTTCGTTTATGCTATATTTACTTATTGATTTTAATATTTACATTACTCCAATCGAAAGAAATTCTTATAATTTGACATTTCTTAACTTTTTTTTCCACATTTTCTATTTTTGAAATTTGCGATAGAATTAATTGTGAAACATTTAATCCATTTAATTTTACTAGTGTTTGTTAATGTCGTGTTTTAGATATAGTTCGATTAATCATATTTATTTTCAGTATTGAAAAGTTTAGGTTGCAGTTAATTGTATGTATTATATCTAAACTATTTTTAGCAGTAGCAATAGCTAAGTGATTACTGGAAGTTTTTCCATTGTTAACTTTATTTTTTATTTCAAATTATAAGTTAATGTCCAGTTTCTGTGATCATCCTGGCAATTTTTTCCGCTGAAAAACCGAAATTCTAATTTGATAGATATTTATCTCACCTTTTACCTAACATATTATTGACAGAGATGTCAATGAGAGTGCACTTAAGGTTAGCATGATAGTCGCAAAAATAAGCTCATTGAATCGAAAAGGTTTGCAACTTTCGAAAAGCACTGGGTTCTTTATAATTAGTATCATTATTTAATAGTCGCAATATGTATCCCTTTAAATATTTTTTTTTCGGGTTTTTGAATTTTATTCAAATTGTTTAAATTTTAAAATTGCTTCCAGTTTTTTATGAACATCTGAGTTCTTAAACTTCTAAAAATCTTGGACATTGTCCGAAATCATGAATTGTCCAGTTTCTTCCTACTACTGATACATCAATTTTCCCGAATTATTAGTGTTCATGAATTCATTATAATATCTATGAATTTTATGAATATCTATGAATTTTTTACTTTTTTTTCTTGCTTATCTTCCTGTATTTCGTTTGAAATTTTTATATTTGCTTATAAATTTGTTTGTTAATTTTTGGATATCAATTGGTTTGTTTGAAGTTTTGAATTTTTGAGCTTCTCAACATCTTTAAGCAATTGCAATTTTCGAATTTTTTGACAATGATTAGGTTTTTGAAAATTTTTTCGATTTTTGGATTTTATTGAAAATGTTGAATTACCGATTTTCTTGGAGTGGATTCTTTGAATTTCTTAATTCAGACTTTCAAATTTATTCAATTTCTTGGTTTTTGTGTTTTTTTAAACTTATTAATTCATGAATCCTTTCAATTTTTGAGTCTTTTA